ATATATAATACCACCTTTGGGCAAGATACTATATGTAATAATTTAAAATTACGATGCTAACATCCAAATTTTTTTTAAGTAAATCAAATAAAAATGAGTGTGCCACCTTGGTAGCTACCACCCACTTTTATTTCAAAATATTTCTTTTAATGGGAACACTAAGAAGGACTTGAAGTCCACGAAAATTTCAATAATAATAATAATAACACAAACTAATCACAATCATTAACTAACGAAAAACAAAATCCGTGCGCTATTATAATACGAAATTGGCAACTAAATTTCAATATATGAAAATAAAATTTGAATGGACAAATAATAACGACATTTAATTATTACAATAAAAATATTAAGTTGTCTATTTTAAATGTAATTTTAATTTTAGGTCGAAATTGAGATATATTTGGACCAAATTCAAAAATCCCATTTAAAAATTCAAATTTAATATTTCAAAATTGTAAAATTGACCCTAAAATTAAAATTATGAATAGAGGGCCTCGAAATTCAGAAATTACAGCACATGTCATTTTCTTTAAAAAATTCCAAAGTGATCATTTGTTAATTGCAAGCAAGGCCCCAAAATTTCTGAAATTGCGAGCAAACCCCATCCCTAAATCAAACCCGACACCCAATCAAAAAATCAAACCCTAGCTCGTTTTTTGTGTTGGGCGTCGCCACCGTCAAATCAGCGGCGCTTTACCTCTGTCGCTGCTCGCTGATGTATCACCAGCGCTGTTTGGCAGCAAGCGCGCAGTGCTGCACCAGTAGCATCCGCGAGTGTCGCGGTCGGCACCGCTGATTTTCAACAGTAGGGCCGACAGCCGGGTGACGGTGCTGCCGGAGATAAATATGCGCATAGATTCATACAAACACATATTCAAAACAAATCAAAAACCCCATATGCCATCACACAACCAGAGGGCTTCATATACACACATACGGGAGGCTGCTGCGGAAACCATATATACACGCATACAAACCAAATTCAAATCATGGTGTAAATACTCAAATATCCATGTCTAACTTTGTTCTATCATAATTATTCGCACTAATTTTGCTGGACGATGGGCACTAACAATACAACGGGTGAAGAAGAAGAAGAACAAGGCCAGGGCAAGACTGCCTGAGTTTTTTTTTTTGTGACAAACATACATATATACACAGAGAGTAGGGCTGCAGTTTAGTATTCATACACATTTGCACATAGTTGGCTAAGCAAGAGAGAAGACAGAATTCAAAAAATCAATTTAATTTTATTATTGTTTAGAGGACTCTAATCTTAGCACGCTACTCTGATACCAATTGTTGCGATTATTCAATACAATCATGCTAAGAATAAGAATCACATAATTAATTGATAGTCCGAAATTCATACATGTGGAAGACGTCGTTATATATGAATATTACCAACTAGATCTTCATCTTCATGCTCCTCAAAATAATCAGCCGTCAATGGGACAAACCAAAACAATATGGAGAGGAGATGGGACCTAACCATTATATAGAAAATCATAAAATCGGCCAATTATCGACTCTAACCCTAATTAGGGTTTACATAATTCCGGCCCACATACTTAAAATTATCACATCATAATAATATAACATGTAAAGTGTACAACGGTCCAAGTGATCACAAACATATTGAATCTAATCATAGTATCATTGCAAACTATACATTTAATCCGTAAAATTTGCAATCAAATGGAAGTCCACATAATAGAATTATTTTAACATCCATCATTTCAAAAAAGAAAAAGAGAGAGAGAGATTTAAATAGTATTTTTAGGAGAATATGTTGTAAAAAAGTTGAAATTTTTTTATATTTTATGTACAGATTATCTTATTGTGTAAATATGTTA